CAGGAAATGTTTTGGAGTGGCCGAGTCAGAGCGCAGACCTCAATCCAATTAAAGAAGTTGTGTCTGAAAAAGCCTCTTCACTCATGATACCTGTGCAACCTGACAGAGGTTGAGCAGTTTTGCAACGAATGACGTAGAATTGTAGTGTCCAGATGTGCAAGGCTGACTGAGACCACAACGCTGTAATTGTAGCCAAAAGTACGTCTGCTAAGTTCTGACTTGCAAAAGTGAATCGTCATGCAGTCACCTGTTTTATGTTTTACATTTTAAATTACATTGCTAGTCTTAAAAAAGAAGTCATTAATCATTCATAAAATCAATTTCCAAAAATACTTTTAATGTGCATTACATGGATGCAACACAAGTGTATACTTCACTAACTGCAGTAGTAAAAGTTATCCCTCAAACCTTTCTTGTTCCTTTTTACCACAGAGAGCTCTCAGTGATCAGCAAGTTGCAGAAAACCCGAAGAGTCCCAGGAGTCCACGAATGTCCTCCCCGCTGGCCTGGTAACACACAGCGGCTCTACAGGATATACACACAATACACAAACTATATGCATATACGGTATATGCATGCACTAACACGCACACACACACACACACACACACACGCACACACATGCACTAACACGCACACACACACACACACACACACACACACACCACTCAATGTGCAATACTGAGCAAAAAAGTAGCTGTTGTGTTCACGTGTTTTGCTAAAACGAAGGAAGATGAGAACCTTTGCGATGAAAAACAAACGTCTCTTGCATCAAAGATGGGTAACTTAGCTTTATACCAGTGTTGTGCTACGTTTATCTTCCTTTATTGAAAACTAAAATGGTTAAGACCAGTCAGCCATCCAGATATCTGCTGTTTGATAGTTATTCAGTAACCTCCCGTAGTTTAAGTTTTATTTCTCTAAGCCCGAGTGTAGGTCATCCAACGCCTGCGTAGTGCAAAATGACAATAATCCAGTAAAACCTTTGTGACATATCCACGATTAAGAAGTAGATTTATTAACTTTGTCATTAAATATTTTCACTTGGTGGCTCTTAAGAACCCGCAGAAGCAGTTCTCCGATTAGTTTACATGTTGTGTACTTTTGTAAGGCGCCCACCACACTGAATGTCTTTATTATTACCTTATTTACTCTCAAGTACAGTCACAGCCGCTGTCCTGACGACAGCTCGTTTGATTTACTGCATTGTATCTATGCGTCACTGTCAGACTTGTACCATGTCACTTGTAGCTGTGTTGTTTATTGACTGGTTTATTGTCCTGGTCTTCCTCTTCTTGTCTTACCAGTTTGTATATAGGAGACTCTGTCAATGGGAGCTGGTACTTAGTGCTTGTTTTTATATATAAAAAAAGGAGATTTAACTGTTCCAAGGGTCATTTTTCACTTGGCTCCAGTCATTAAGACACTAATAACAGATTGCAGAAGCGGGATTATGTGGATCTTGCAGCGGGCACTGTGCAATATGTGAATGTTTAGCTGTGTTCCTCCTCTGTTAGATATTATCCTCATTAAAGTGTAAATGAGCTCTATCATGTGTGGACTGTGCAGAATGAGAGAAAGTCTAAAGAAAATATATCTACAATGTATGAAGCACTTTGTTAACGTATTACTCGAGTATTTTCTTTTCCTGAATGTGGACTAACCGTAGAGTTTTATCCCTACAGGACAGCAGCGTTCATAAGTTAAGTGCAGTAAAGTAGCTTCATAGAGCTCCCAGCTTCCCCACATGCCAGTGCTTTGTAAAAACTAAAGCTTCAAGTGGCATTTTTTTTTAATTGTAAGGCAAATTACTCTAAGAATCGTGTGTGCAGTCAGTAAAAGCTTTGTTTTCTATCGGTCTAAGTTCTCCTGCTTCTGAACCTCTAAAGCGCTGCTGTCCATTTAAGGCCTATGAAGTGTTTAAGTCTGTATTTTGTATTGTAACCTAATTCTGACAAATATAAAGAGTTGTACCAGATCCACTTTTGCTTGAATGTCTTTGTTTTTAAGGCAAGCGGGTTGTCTTACCCAGAAACAGCCGTGTGTGCACTGCTGTGTGTTATCGACAACACAAAGGGAATCACATCACACACTCGTGTCTGCGTATCTCCTGCTTTTATTGTGTGAACGCCGTCGTGCTGCTGACACTCCTGCTGTTGCTGCAACCAGTTTATCTGCTGCAGCAAAATCTCAGATGAACATTTGTCCTTGTGCGATAAGCCCGTAACTGTTTTATAATCTAAGCAACCGCCCACGTCCTGTTTGTATTTATGAATTTAAACCTCATTTGGCTGTTTCATGACAGCAGAGGTGCGCTCTTTAAACGCCTCCCCGTGAGGAGCAATAAATCTCTTACATTTTAACCAAACCTCGTCGCACACGAGGCCAAAGTGGAGTTTGATCCTTCAGAGTGTGAAGGAAGCTCTGAGACAAACATGAGACGTCCTGAGACTGTGTGCAGGTGAAGCGTGACATGCTGCTGCACTGTTTGGGACACGGAGGCAGCAGGAGGCAGCAGCTGGTAGCACTCAGAGTCACCGTTTCCTGAAAGGTGAGTTTCTGTTTTCTTGTCCAACTTACAGCCTCATGAGAGCGAAACAACAACTGAGCTGTTCGCTGATGACTAACTTGTGACTTGTGTTGTAATTTTCAGATGCGAGTGAAGTTGATTTTTGTTTTTGGAGCTTAAAGGATGTTTATGAACTAAATGTGTACGATGGGTCTGAAATCATGAGAGTTGGTGGAAGTACTCAGAAAATGATTGAAGTATAACTAATATTACATCATTGTTTTTTTTGGTTATATTTCTTTGACTGCACTTATATTGCTGTATTTTTACTTCTATTTTACTCATACTTCTATGTGAATGTGAGCTGGCGTGACAAATAAAGTTTCTTGAATCCTTGAATAATTATCATCAGAAAAATGTTCTCTAACGTGGCTTCACATTTATTTCCTCGTGTCCGGTTTTTAATTATCAAAGTAAATTCTTAAACAGAAAGGTAAATGGATCCCGTTGCTTTTCCTCACTGCTGAGTACCACAAACTGTTCAAATACTTCACAGGATAAACAACAGCTTCATTAACTTCAAATCTCTTCCATTTGGATCCAGATGAGCTTTGACTTTGCAGCAGGCCACCAGGGCAGCACCATGACCCCGTCTCCAACGCCCCCCTCCAGGGGCAGAACCACCCTGGACACCGTGGACATCGTGGTGCTGGTGATCTACTTCCTGCTGGTGCTGGCTGTTGGCTTCTGGGTCAGTACGCTGTTATCAGGCAAACTAGCAGCTGTGATGCTTTTAACTGAGGGCTTGAAACACCAGACGGATCGTAGAGAACTGTGCTGTGAGCAAATACATCTGCTGTCCTTTACCAAGAACAGAATCAGTCTGTTCTCTCTTTATCAGAAATACATTCCTCTTTTTCATCTTTATAATTAGCTTGTTAGAGTTGGACGACCTGCACTGAAGCTTCTCTCCGCGCTGCATCAACAAGCAGAAAAAATGCTGATGCTGTTGAATTCAGCTGGACTTTTAGAGCAGTGAATTGTGAGAAAGCAGTTCTCACAATTTTAAATAAAAGCAAACTGTACATGCATCTGTTACAGTGTGAGGCAGGACAAACAAACTGCCTTCAGAGTCGTGTTTAGAAGGTGGACTGTGAGTGACTGTGTGGAGTTGTTGGTGCTACACATAAGAAAAAGGAAGCAACAGACATGTTTAGAGGCAGTTTTGTGGTCAGTTATTTGCAGCAGAAGGCAGAAGATGCGAGGAGTGAAGTTTCAGTGTCAGTGGTATCAAGGTGAAGCTGCATCCTCGGTTTTGTTTCCATCTGGAGCACCTTGTAACTTAAATCCATCCAGAGCTTCCTTTGAATCTTGTCAGCTCTGTTCTAAGCTCAGAGGAAGGTTTATGTGGAGCTGTAGTCCAAGCCGGATCGAGCACTTCTTTAACTTCATTAGAAACACTACGTCTCTCTGTGTGTTGTTAAATGACGCTGTCTCTTCAGTTTTACCTTTTAAAAGTGTCTCTGTCATTATTCCCATCAGTCTATGTTGAGGACGAAGCGCAGCACCGTGAACGGATACTTCTTGGCTGGAAAGAGCATGACCTGGTGGCCAGTGAGTCAGAACCTCCACCCAGACGAGCACCTGATGAAAACCTTCACCGAGTACGTTCTCATCGGTGTCAGACTGGTTCTGATTCTGTCTCTGGTTTATGTTTAGGTGGGGGCTTCGCTGTTTGCCAGTAACATTGGCAGCGGACATTTCATCGGCCTGGCAGGGTCGGGAGCTGCAGCAGGAATCGGGGCCATCGCATACGAATGGAACGTAAGACATGGAACCAGAACATGCAAAATAAGCTGGACGTGATGAGAAATGAGTCTGTGCTGAAGCCTTAGCGTTGATATGTGTTGACGAACAGGGCATGCTGATGGTGCTCCTGCTGGGATGGCTCTTCCTGCCCATTTATATCTCCTCTGGGGTGAGTTTTTACCCAAGAGAACATCACACAGACACAAATGTGCCTGATTGTGTTCATTGAAATCCGTCTGGTCGTCTCTGATCTCCTTCCTGTGCAGGTGACGACCATGCCGGAATATCTGCAGAGACGCTTCGGTGGAAGAAGAACACAGTTATTTATAGCTGTCCTGTCCTTGTTTATTTACATCTTCACAAAGATATCGGTATGTTGCTGATCCACATGTCTTACAAAACTAAATACATCCCCGCCTGCATGTGTGCACATATTTAAAGAGCTTCTGTGCTTTAAACTGTTGCTGCCAGGTGGACATGTATGCAGGAGCTCTGTTCATTCAGCTGGCCCTGCAGTGGAACATCTACCTGGCCATCGTGGTGCTGCTGTCCATCACGGCCCTCTACACTGTAGCAGGTCACCTTTCTCCTTCTCTTGCTGTTTTAAAACCCCTTTGCTGAGACATTGTAAAAGCTGCCAGTGGTGCGTCATGTATGTTGTGTCCTACAGGCGGTCTGGCTGCGGTGATCTACACGGATGCAGCCCAAACTGCCATCATGCTGGCAGGAGCTCTGACCCTCATGGGCTTCAGTAAGTCAGATGTGACTGAATATGAAACCTCCAGCACTTCATGTTCCAGTTTATGTCACCCTGTTGTCTCCACATTGAGGCTTTGCGGAGGTTGGAGGCTGGGACGCTCTGATGCAGGGCTACGCCGACGCCATCCCCTCCATCCGTGTGCCCAACTCCACCTGCGGCATCCCTCGAGACGATGCCTTCCACCTCTTCAGAGACCCGGTGACCTCTGACCTGCCCTGGCCCGGCGTCATCATCGGCATGTCCATCCCCTCCATGTGGTACTGGTGCTCCGATCAGGTACAGCAGGACTCGGCTTAGCACGTCTCCAGTTCACAAAAAAGCAAAATCAGACTATAAATCAAGTTATGAAGTAAAGCCTTCTTATCTGAGACTTTTTAATCACAGATTTTAAACCAAGTGAAGCAACAGCACGTCGGATTTCTACCGTGAAGGCAGTTAAGAGCTCAGGAGCCCCGAGTCGCTGAGATGGACATCAAATATTTATTTAAATTTATTTTACTTGTAAACTGTCAGGAGGTTTTTCATCTATAAAAGATGAAAGTACAATTTAGAGCTTTTCAATCCTGTTTATGCTGTTTTCTCTGAACTAAAGTATGAAAAAAAATCCCCATCTTGAGAGTTTTTGGCATGTTTTGCTTTTGCAAGACTTTAAAAAACTCCTTTTATGCAACATAGTGATCCGACCCGCGGCAGGGAGACATGAGGAGTCTTAACGAGCTTTTATGGTCTTATCAGTTCAACAATCCAGCATCTAATTAGAGCACATAAAACCTTCACCCCTGATACCTGCCAGGTCCCTGAGTGATAACGGGATTCCTTCCTTTCTGATTAACACTAAACGGACCTCTATTAACGCGCTGTGATATTCTGCTGAATGTCTCAGTTACTCATTAACCGTCGGCTGCTGTTGGTTAACTCAGAGTCACCTTTGGTTGGGATTCTCTGCAGGTGATTGTGCAGCGGTCGCTCGCTGCCAAGAACCTGACGCATGCAAAAGGTGGATCCCTGCTGGCAGCGTACATCAAGATCCTGCCTTTCTTCGCCATCATGCTTCCTGGTATGATCAGCAGGATCCTCTACACAGGTACAGTGAGTCATCTATGCGGATATACTTCCATTACTGTGCATTACCTCATGAACGTACTCAGATTACTCACGGATCTGTAATATTTACACAACACAATGGCTGCAGCTCCTAAAAGCTCATCTCTGTGTGTCAGAGTTACATATGAAAATCATTCCTTCCTGCCTAATAAGGTTTGGATGTAACTACAGATCTATGAAGTCCCTCCCCCTCTCTGCAGCTCAAGCACACCGGCTCAGTGAGAACTGCAGCTTGTGTTCTTCTCTCCATAACCCACATTACTCTGGAAAGGCCACAAACATCAAAGCTAGCAGGACAAGCTCATGAAACTAAACTTCATTCAGCTGCTTCCTTAGTTTTAGTTTAGTTTTCATATTTTGACTAAATTAGGGTCATAATGAGCTGCAGGTGTTTCAGTGGTTAGCACCGTGGCCTCACAGCTAGAAGGTCGCCGGTTGGTGTCCCGGTGAGGACACCCGGGATCTTCCTGCGTGGAGTCTCCATGTTCTCCCCGTGCAGCGTGGGTTCTCTCCGGGTTCTCCGGCTTCCTCCCACAGTCCAGAAACATGCTGAGGTTAATTGGTGATTGTAAATTGTCCGTAGGTGTGAATGTGAGTGTGCTTGGTTGTCTGTCTCTAAGTGTAGCCCTGTGATAGACTGGTTACCTGTCCAGGTGAACCTGCCTTCACCCTGAGTCAGCTGGGATAGACTCCGCCCCCCATGACCCTGGTGAGGATGAAGGTGTAGAGATGATGGATGGATGGATGTTTGGGGTTTTTTTTGCCTTTATTTAGAGCTTTAGAGAGAGAGACAGGACGGGGGGAGAAGAACGGGGAGAGACCTGCAGCAAAGCGTCGTGAGCGGGAGTCGAACCCACGACTGCTGTGTTGGAGAACTACAGCCCTGTTCATGGGTCGCCCGCTCAGCCCGGTGAGCTGTCGGGGCGCCCGACATCATTCATGTTTGTTACCTGAAACTCAGGAAGTCGAAATCCATCTTTTTGACTCATCACTGTTCTCAGGTTTCACAGAGGAAACGTGGACGTTAACAAGATTAAAAAAGACGATTTCCATCCAATGGGGATCTTTAAGGCACGACATTTAGTGTAGAAGTAATTTTTTTTTTTTTAGTTTGTTTAGATGTCACCTTTATTTGAAAATAAAATATCATTTTTAAACTGTAGCTGGTTTTATGTGATCTCCTGGACAGATTCTGAGCTAAATGCTGAATACAAACATCCAAACGCACTTCTGTGTATCAAAGTGACATATTTAGAAGTTTTTTCATGAAAATAATCCCGTCTTAAAATGATGTCGATGTAGCTGCACCCTGAGTCCCTCGCTGTTTTCCTCTCCTACCGCTTCCCTGCAGCTCGAGCACACCAGATCACCTGCGACTCTGCTCAAAGGCTGTCACATTATTCTAATCTACGTGTTGACAGAAATCTAAATCTGTGTTTTTGAGTCGTCAGTATTATTTGGTTTCACAGAGGAAGCGCTCAGGTGTGGCGCTGATCGCTGATGTGGCTCATGATGTGTCTCCTAGCATGTAAAAAATGTCCTGAACATGTTAACAAGGTTCAAAAAGAATTTATTTTCATTAAAGTGGTCTTTAAGAGACTGTATTTTGGGGTTTTATTAGATTGCAACCTTTGTGTAAATGGAACGTTTTTAAAATAAAGCTGCTTTTATAGGAACTCCTGGACAGACTTCTTGCTGAATACAAAGGTCTTAGCACAACACTGCATCACAGTGTTACTGATGAGGTGTAATATACTAAAAACAGCACATGGCTGTGATCAAACTGGAGGAAATGTGGATGTTGGAGTGTGATGTTTAACTCCGTGGTATGTGATGTAGATGAAGTGGCGTGTGCAGACCCTGACCAGTGCAAAGAGATTTGTGGAAACTCTGTTGGATGTTCCGACATCGCTTACGCCAAACTGGTGATGGCGCTGCTGCCTGCAGGTGAGACTTCCTCTGCTGTCCCGCCTCCTGTCCTGCCCTTTGCTTTATGCACACCTACATTATAAATTCTCTTTTATCCGTGGGTCTGTCCTCCAGGGCTGCGAGGTCTGATGATGGCCGTGATGATCGCTGCCCTCATGTCCTCTCTGACCTCCATCTTCAACAGCGCCAGCACCATTTTCACCATGGACCTGTGGAAGAGCTTCAGGTCGCGTGCTTCTGAGTGGGAGCTCATGATTGTGGGCAGGTACGCAGCCACGTCAGGACACATGCAACGAAAACGAGGGAGGAAGACTGGTGAAAAGCTGCCCTGCTGTCAGCTTTTTCCACAGGTCTTCAGTTAAAGGTTAAAAATTGAAACTCTGGCAAATAATTGATTCCCACTTGGACCATGTGCACTTATAAAGTAGCCACGCATTGCATTATAATGCACTTGGGATGAAATCATGCACCAAATTGCATGTTAAATTATTGCATTTCTCTGTCATCAGCACCCAAACCATAAGTCCTCTTTCCACATATTCCTAAGTAATGACTTCTCCAGATGTTCTCTTCTGGCCTTTTCCACACAGTCTCACAGCAGAACGTTCGGCATCGTGCTGTTCAGATTTTAGCACCTTTAGTTTTCCACCCTCAGACACTCAACTTATATGAGCAGCTTGTCTTTGCAGAACTGTATTATTTCACATTTAAAACACACACCGTTTCATGTGTGGCCACAGGGTGTTTGTGCTGGTGCTGGTGGTGGTGTCTGTGCTGTGGATTCCTGTGGTCCAGGCCAGTCAGGGCGGTCAGCTCTTCATCTACATCCAGTCCATCAGCACCTACCTGCAGCCTCCCGTCTCCATCATCTTCCTCATGGGCTGCTTGTGGAAGAGGACTAACGAGAAGGTGAGACGGTGTGTCTGGTGAACCACCTAACCCTCTGGTCCCTCTAACTGCCTGATGCTGGACTCCGTCCCTCCTGCAGGGTGCTTTCTGGGGCCTGGCTATCGGCCTCGTGATCGGCTGTATTCGCATGTTGTTGGACTTCATCTACCCGACTCCCCTCTGCTTCGAGGAGGACGACAGACCTGAAGTGTTGAAATACGTCCATTACCTGTACTTCTCCACGCTGCTGTCCTTCATCACCCTGGTTGTGGTGGTTGTCGTGAGTCTGGCTACAGAGGAGCCTGAACCGGAGCAGGTGAAGCCACACTCAGCTCACTTCCTGTCATTTCACTTCCCTCACATCGACCACGACACGATGCACACTGACTTCTGCTTGGGTCGCTAGATTACATTTCTCACTGAAACGCATACTCTGCACACTTATATATCTAAACTACCTTAAAATCTGAGAAGAACACTCGTCTTTTATATACTCTGTCTTGTTCTTCTCTGTTACTGGGCCGCGTTCAGATCATGCCACTACACAAGATACAAACAATACATGGATTTGCTCTACAGCACCACTAGGTGTCAATAACACCTCAGGGTGCCGTTACGGCAAACTAACGCACTGATTTACAGCCGTGGCCAAATTTGACATCTGCACAAAAGAACTTCTGCTTTTTCTAAACTGTAGTTGAGCCCTTACCTGCAGCATCAGCACTTTGGGCTGATACGGCTACAAAAAAGTAAATCACATTTCTGTCTGAGTTCATTTTTCTACGTTTTCTGAACAGATCAGTCGTCTCACGTGGTTCACGAGGTTCGACCCGGTGAAGCCCAAAGTGCAGGTGTTCACAGTGGAGCAGAGCATGACGACCTTGGGAGCGGTCACTAATCAGACGGATGAGACGGGAGTCACGGAAACAGAGCCGGAGGGCAGCAACGGAAAAGCCTGTCATCACAGGAGAGGTGGGTCTCCGCTCTTCATCACTCTTTTCCACATTTGTCACATCTGCTGAACTATTCAAAGTATTCTCCCTGAACTCTCCAGACTCTGCATCGTCAGTGTCCAGCGTCCAGAGTCAGTCGAAGCTGATGTCTGCCCTCTACTGGCTGTGTGGGATGGAGAGACAGCGGCAGGCCAGTGATGATCCTCCTCCTGCACCTGAACCTGAGCCGGCCGCCGCTTCTCTGGAGGAGAAGCCCCGTCTGCGGCGCCTCGTGAACGTCAACCTCCTCATTTGCCTCTCTGTAACTGCCTTTATCATTGGTTACTGGGCTTGACAGGTAGGTCGCGGCGCTCTCCATGGACACGTGGTGTATGGGCTGTCAAAAGGTTGTGTACAGACCGCAGTGTTTCAGTTTTCACTTTGTAAAAACTTCTATCTTGAAAGTGACTGATGCATCCAAACGGTGCCTTCAACATATGTGCATGCTTTACTTGTAAAATGAATCCTATGAAAATTAAACTGTAGAGCTCTTTGTCTTTTACAAGAGTCCTGTGTAAAAATTAAATCTTTTATACGTCTTTTGGAATTGTCAACGAATGTCAAAAGTTTTGATGAAATCTCCTTTTGCACTGGTTTTCATCCAAGCCCACCCCATCCACTGACCTCACCTCGTGCTGTCTTCCATTTCTTTTCATACTTCTTAGATTTTTTATGTGAACAATTACAAAATGAGAAAATAAAGAAAAAAAGAAAAAGCTGAGCGATGCAACAGTTTGAACAATCTTTAATTATCAAGAGTAATGATGCACTGTATGATGCATGATGTGCAGAAAAACCACCATAAAAATACCAAGAAGTAATAAAAAACAATCAAAGAGCTGAAAAAATCCTTAAAGGCAAAGTTTGTGACGATTTCAGTGATTTGGCGGTATTTGGTCGTAGCTTTGAGTTTCAAGTTGGAGTGATCAGTTAAATTCTATTTAGTAGGGGGACAAAAAAAAAATCCCTTTTAACATTAAAATAATTGAGCTTTAAAAATTTTTTCAGATTCAGGTGAGTAGGAATCAAATAAAATTCAGATGGAAAACACAGTTCAGCTCCACCGTAGATCTGGATGAACTGCCTGAACACCAAACATGGCAGTGTGTGTGTGCTGCGGTGGGACACCGCTGGAAGACAACCGCATCTTTTATTGCACTCTTGCCAAATATTTGGTCATTAGCAACCCGAACATCAGCCGATCAGCTCTGAATCTGAACCGCAGCCGTTCCTTTGGTCCTTTATTATAAGCTGTTGAAGTCTGTGACTAAAAAGCTCAACATCACATTCAGAGAGTTGAAACTGAAACGCTGGAAAATGTCAGCGAAGAATCAGTTTCATGATAAATACATCATCAGTGGCTGGTTAAAAATTCAAATATCTCCAAACAACTGAAAAAACACCAGCGGGCCTCTGTGGTGAGATCTGTTGCTGGAAGCAGATTCACAGACTTTCGTCTCCAAAACAATCTTTAGCATCGATGGCAAGATTTTAAAAAGAAACAGGAGACGATAGAAAGCTTTGCCAGCACCTTTTGAGTTCAGCTGCTATGTTGCTGAGGTTATATGTTCAAGTCCTATTAGCCTCGTGCCGAGCAAGGCTCTGCAGTCCAATCTCAAAATACCCAGCAGTAAATGGAGCAGGAAGAGTTCACGGTGAATATGGAAAGCGATCGCTGGACAGGAGTTCTGTGGTTGAAACCACCGTTGTAGGATGAGGTTTCTGGTTTGAGTCGAGAGGAAAAGGCAGCTGTGTGTTCCCAGAAAGCAGTCTGGCATCGTGTGGGTGGAGCCTGAAGAGCTGGACTCATCTTTGGGTTACCTGTCGGATGTGTGATTGTGAACACTGGGGCCGGCTGGGTGTGCAGCTTCCTGTCTCTTCACAGAGCGGTGCTCTCCGAGTTGATGTCAGGGTCCTGCTGCAGGGCTAGGGTGGTGGTGGTGGTGGTGGTGGTGGGGGGCTCCTGACCAGCAGAGCTCTCCTCTGGTTGGTCCGCAATCACCTCAGGGATGAAGGCTCTTCCAGTCCCCTTCAGGACCAGGCCTCCGTCTGCACAGCCAGGGCAGCAGTCAGCAGCAAGTCAACACACCAGAACACACAACACAGATACACACCGGGGAGCACACACACACGGTTCACACTCAGTAAGACACCAAGGACTGCTCTCATTATTAAATCTAGTCAAACCTGGATGTATAGGATCCTTTTAGATGTGGATGCAGTTACTGGAGTTTCCTTGGTGTGTTAATCTTTGAATGCAACATGTGTTTAACACGGTGCAGCAGAATGCACACAGAGGACAGCAGCACGCTGTCGGTTAGTTATCACAGAAACTGTTAGCAGCCAAAAGCCATCCAACCTCCACACGGGGATCACAAGCCTGTTAGTTGAGTTGGCGGTTAAAGTGCAGGACAAACACACAGCGTTACACATGAATGTAGGTGCACGGTGATGTGCACAACACCGATGACACACTAAGCGCAGCGGGTGACGCACACACATGCGGGTGGACAGAGAAGCGAGGCCAGTGCATCAGCCCGTCAGATCCTTACCATTACCTGCCTTGCAAAGCTCATCTTACAGGCAGGCCGGCAGCTCAGACATCTGCAATATTTACACATTTCCTGTCATGCTTTAGATCACCACAGTTCCATTTAGTGTGCGAGGCACCGTGAGACAGTGAAACCAAAAGCCACGGAGCTGAAATACAGCGACGCCCTGACAGGAGGCTGAAATCACTCAATACTGAAGTTAAGACAGTATCAGCAGACGGGCAGCGAGTGATTTCAGAGAGAAGTCGTGTTTCAAAAACATCAGTGAGGACGATTTTATGCTCTTCATTATGTCTGGAGGTGCAAAATGAGTAAAAAAGACCCGACAGCATGAACAGTAAACTGCTTCGTCACAAATCTGTCGGAGGTCAGGTGAGGAGAGGAAAGGAGTTTTCATTTCCTCCCACTGATGGTTAACACTAATATAACTCATTATATCATGTATATTATATATAACATTGTATTCAGCAGCTGTAGTTACTGGTTTCATTGCAATAACACAAACTAAAGTCGAATAAATAAATGACTGTGCACTATTAGAGGTTAGTTACTATGCAGGAGGACTTTAAGTATATAATGCATTTGTAATTATGAAGTAAATTACTAACATGTACAACACTATTTCTGCATTTCAGGTTATTTATTTTTGTTATTTAAAATGCATATGGCCAGCAGCACTACAGAGTGAAGGAAGATGCTGAGTGCATGACTTTTAAAGGTTTGCTATTCTTAAATATGCACACAGCTATTTAGAGTTTTGTTCTGTTCAGCTGCACAGACAACCAGCATGTTTAGATCTGGACTCTATTTAGAGCTTGATGTGAATTTCCTCCCACAGAAACATGATCATGATGTAGTTACACACGTATATGGTTCATAGCTGCACACTGTTCCTGTTTAAATACTGTTTCATAATATAGAGGAACAAGTGAATCTGAAGGCAAATGGGACCGACCGTCTACCTGTTATGATCTTGGAGGCGGAGCCGCAGACTCCGTTACCGTTGTCGGGCTGAGGCGGCGGTGGCATGCTGGGTCGGGGTCGTGGCCTCGGCGCCGGCCTGGAGGGGCGAGGCAGAGACCCGGAGTGGTAGGAAAGCGGGTTGGAGTGCGACCCATCGTGAGGCGGAGTGTCCGGAGGGGTGGGAGTGCTGGGCGGAGAGGGCTCTGACTCCCCCTGGGCCTGCTGGGCCTGGGGGGGCTGCGGGGGCGGGTGGCTCGGCGCGTGGATCAGGCCCTCCTTGCTGTGCAGACGGCGGGGGGTGATGGGCGGGTGATGGGGGGAACCGGGCGTCTGGGTGTTGCTGGGCCCAGAGGCGAAGGGGCTGGCCTGCTTGGGCGGCGCTGGGGCCTGCTTCTTGGTGCCTTCAGAGGAAAACAGCATCATGAGACCGATAGCGGCGCTGAAGTTTAACACCTGGACCAGGACTGTAGGTTTAGTCACCTCTGCGGCTCATGTGTGGACTGGGACCCCTGGACCCGCCCTGGGAGTGGGGGGCTCCTAACAGATGGGACGAACCGTTCCTCTGGGGAGGGGGCGTGGACGTGAGCTCACGGGCCGGGCTGTGGACACATAACAGGAGCAGATGTTAGATCCTTTACATGTCATCGTCCTTCAGATTCAGTGAACAAGACCTGAGCAGGAACTCATGCATAACACATGAAACACTCTCTCCACTCAGAGACTCAACACATCTGATGAAGGCTGAACGGTTGAGAGAAGTGACAGAGGGAACAGGATGCACAATCAGAAGGCTGGACAAATGTTCAGTAATGCGTTTCATGCAAAATTAGACAACAAGCACCCAGACGAACGTGCTGATGAGCAGACGGAGAGGAAGGACGGACATGTTGAGACACAGAATGATTCCAGTCAGTCATCACAGGCAGTGGGCAGGGTGACGGATGTGCCGACAAAGCATCACATGATTCTCATGGCATTACATTCTGATTAAAAGCACAATTAAAAAGCTGTAGACACTGTTAATATCATGATTTTCTCTTTTAATGACTTCCAGTATGTGAGCTGTAAATAATTAAAAAACCAATCAAACACAAGACAAACGTAAAAGGTGGGCGAGCTCCGGACTGGCTGATTGGCTGCGAGCAGACGGTGGAGTATTGCTGCGACCACAGCTCGCTCCTTACCTGCTCTCCTCTGCGCTGAGCTGGGTTACAAACTGAAGCTGCACTGTGGCTACCTGGACCCCACCACCCAGACCACCACCACCACCAGCACCGCTCAGGCCGGACTGCTCAGCCTCCACAGCCAGGGACAGAGGCTGGGGCTGGGGCTCGAGCTGGGGATGAGCCACGGCTTCCAGAGGGGGCAATGGGGGCTGGAAGGTGGGTGAGGTTAGTTGTGACTTTCTATTTACAGCGCTGGCTCTGCGTGGAGTGGGCTCCGGCTGTTTGTTAACAGAGCTAGGAAGGGGGGAGAGGGGAGAGAGTTCAGGAGGGCAAACCACAGACAGAGTGAAGGAGCAGGAGACCGAGAGAGACAGAAAAAAAACAGCGAGAGATGGTGCGAGACAGAGAGAGACGCGACTTCCTGAGTTCAGTGAAACCAGTTCAGAAAGAAGAACCCAAAGAGGACATAAAACCACATGACAGTGACCTTTAAAATAGAACAACTTTGAACATCACTGCAGGGACAGAAGAAACAGATGCCACACCATACGGACGAAATGCAACACAGGAAGCCCACACAAAACATAAAACCAGCAACCTACAGGGTGACCTAAGCTTTAATGGGAAATTAAGGAGATGACACAAGAGTACACAGCAGTAACACAGGAGAAATAAAACTCAGAGTGCTGATATTAAAAGTAAGATATCTGAAAAAGAACGTCTTCGTGGTGCTCTGAGGAAAACAACCGATTAGCTGAAACAGGAATGTGGTGCATAAATCACAGAAAACATCATTCCCTTCTTTCGATTACTGGGAGCTACGTGAGGCTACGGAGCAGCTTTGAAGTCTGGACTGGGCAGATCTTCAGTGGGTGTTTCAGTGACTGTGATGGACTCGTCGGCCACTACATAAAGGGCCGACACTGCCGGGCCCCGGGACTCCTGCCTGCTCAGTGTCTTGGGACGGGACGGGAGGGTGAGGGGCAGGCTGAGGCTGAGGTTGGGGCGAGACAGGTACCTGTCTTTACGGGGGGTGTGACTGTCCCCGTCGTGCCCCAGGCTGCCGGGGCGTTTCCTGTCCAGGCCGAACTCGGGGTCCGGGGTGGCCGGATGGGTGGGCATGGCGAACATGCCCGACACGTTGAAGTCCACCTCTGGAGGGAAGAAGCAAACAGAAGCGAGATGGTGAAGATTATGATGACAAAAAGTCCTGAGAAGGGAACTAGACTTCTCTTTTTGGTTCCTGAAGATGCTCCACCTTCACCAAGAGGCTTCTTCAGTCCTAACAGACTGATGGGGAGTCCCAGACATAGAGTGACAAAGTTAATGGCTAATGGTGTGTTACTGGCCAAAGATAACGGTGGGAAACTTTCAAGACTGCATTATGAGTATCTGATCATTGGTGTTGAAGACCTCCGTCTCCATTTAGAGATGGCTTTTCCAGCTAGACGGCTTCCACGGTTAATGTCTTGAGTTTTCTCTGACCTGGATGGAAACGTCAAGACAAGGGAATGTTTGGTTGTTAATGGGTCATACTGTCTATCTGGAACTCCTCATCAGTCACTTAGAACTCATCGACAAGAGCTGAAACATCTTCAAGAACCATGAAGAGAAGTCCAGTGATCTTCTGCTGAAGCTCGTAGGATCCCTGTGACCTGGATGACTGACAATCTGCACAGACGATGACAAAATGTTTGTCTTTTTTTGCCAGTTGAGCAATCCAATCTAGCACAGACATTCATGTGATCAGGGTGAGTGGGTATACATTCATTTACCATCCCTTCATTCAAGTTCTACTTCGTCACACACTGTATGTACGTTTGCTATATGCTGAATGTGAACAAGGTAAACATGATGCTGAGCATGTCACGGTGACCATTTCAGGACGCCAATAGTCACATTTACTTAACATAACTGTGCTCAAAGCTCCTTCATGTCTGAGTGCAGCCTCAGGGAGCCACCAGCACGGCTGACTGTTAGTTTTGTTCATTAATCTGGAATAGATTCCTCTCAAACTGACTTTCATTTAATTATTTCCAACATTTCCAAAAATGCCCCCTGGAACCATGCAGACGATGAGCATCAACTTACAAGAGTCAAGACAACAGGCTCCAAATTAAAATGAAGACTTCAGCAAATTATTACTCCTGCAGCTTCACTGAATGGACAGAAGGCTGCAGATGTTCGTCCATCTGGAATAAACACGCCAGCAGAACAACATCTTCCTGTAGTTCTGTTTCTGTTCTACTGAATCTGACCACTTTCAGAAAAGACAGAGAGAAGAAGCGTCATTGATGTTTTACCGTCGGGGAAGAACCAGTCAGCGTGCTGGATGATGAGCTCAATAATGGACACAACGTGGACAGACGTGGCTGCAGCCATCTCTGCCAGAGACCTGAGTGCAACCAGAGACAAGGAAGGTGAGTCGGCTCCACGCACTTTCATTTAGATTAACAGTATGAATGCATGAATGATTCTCACCCCTCAGCGTTCGACCAGAGCAGGTTGGGACCCAGAACTATGGAAATGTTGCTGGGAGTCATTTTATTCACCTCACTGTCCTGAGCCAGCTTAGCCAGGAACTTCACCAGATACCTGCAACACACTGGGACTGCTTTACAACATCCAGGGAGCTGATTGGTTTCATCACAAGTTTGGCAACAAAGATTTTAAGAGAGTGAATCCCAAACAAAGTTATTATTATTATTGAGGAAACAAGGCTGCAGATTCAGTATCTTCCTTTAAATATCTTCTTAAAACCCACTTTCATAGACTCACTTTTGAGTGATGTTCTCTTTTAGATTTCCCCTTTACATCGGTGCTGCCTGCCATCCTCTCGTTTCTCTTTCTTAATGTACTTTTATCTTCAGCTTCTATCTTAACTCCCCTCTGTGATGTCGTCTTTTTAATCAGCCTTACTTGAAGTGTTTCACCAAAACAAACAAGTTTTTTTTTCTTTTCAATTATCTCCGTCCCCTCACATTTATCTTGGGAACGCTTGACCCACAGTTTGAGGGAAGTCTGTGTCCTAACGAGATGCCTAACGAGGCCTCAGAATGACACTGAGCTCAGCGGTTCAAACAGTCAGAATCAGTTATTCGTGTTGACTGAAAGTGAAAAATGGAACAGAAACCAAACACACATTCACTTCTGCTGCTGTGTCAACAACTGTGTGTATTGCATCATGCCAGCGCTGGAGATGGTCGTACCTGAGGTTGGCCTTGTGAGTCTTTGGCAGACAGTCACATGTCACCCATAAGGCCTGAAGCCTTTTGTCAGGGTCGGACACACTGAAACACACACACACACACACACACACACACACACACACACACACACACACACACAACATTTCCCTGTTACATAAGTTCCAGAAACCAGCCTGTCAAGATGCTTCAGGTGTGTTTAAAGCCCGTTAGTGCTGCGTGAGAGTCTTTTTACGGCACATTAAACGAGTCCTGTTCTTACTTGGAGGCCTGTATCCACTCGTCGTACAGGCCAAAAGTCATTAGAGGTTCAGGAAGTTCCCTGAGGTAGGACTTCAGGGCTCCTGCGTATGAAGACAAAATGCTATGAGAGAAAAGCTCTGGAGCAGATGGTTTCACTTTCTGCGGATTTGTAGCGGAGGTTGTACCAGCGACGGCGTGAGGATCAGAGTAGAACTCCTCGAGCTGCGAGGTGGAGCAGTCCAGCGCCGCTTTCAGCTTCTTCAGCTTCGATGCTCCGGCTGCTATTCTGAAGAGACCCTGAGAGGAGAAACGTAGAAAACATCAGTGCACAGGTGACCGGTTTCCTTCCTAAAAAGTAAAACAGTGTTGTAAAGGAGAAGTGATGCAACCTGAAGCGTCTGACTGAGAAAGAGATGTGGCTCTTTCAGGTGAAGCCCCAGACAGCAGAACGGTTCTGGTTCCGTTTATAAAAAGGTCTTAAATCTTGCTCCGCGGGGAGTTTAGTGATACTGTTGCATTTAAAGAGTGCAACAGCGAACAAGCTAATGGATAACAGATGCCTGCACACACACTCACACACACACACACACACACACACTCACACACACACACACACAGCTCTTATTCCCGCAGGCCCAGGACTAGCTGACCACAAGTCGGCCACAGATGTTTCCAGACTGTACATGCCATCATTTCTCGAGAGCAGTCCACATGACCCACATCTCCGTCCAGCTCAAACAGAGAGCAGCGGGAAAGTTTTACGGTTACAAATTTATGTCCAAATTTGATTAAATTAACCCTCAACTTTGCCCTACTTTAGCAGAGCTTCTCCTCCCGCTGTGCCATACCTCCTCCTTCATGCCGGTCTCCAGCAGCATCATGACGCAGGCCTCGATGGGCAGAGCGATCTCGCGGTTGCTCCTCTTCAGATGCTCCTCCAGCGCTGTGCCAAACGCAGGCTTCTCCATCCACGAGTCTAGGTGAGAGCAACAACGCAGGTCCACCGTCAGCGTGGAAGACTGATGCAGTGAGATGTGATCTTAGTCGTTTTGTTCTGCTTTGAGACAGTGCAGCTTCATTTACAGACACACTGAGCGCTCGGGGGATATAAGCCTCTCATCACTGACACATTTAAGAGTGTGAGCCTGAAATATGCAGCTTTTCTTTCCCGCTGTAGTGTTAAATCAACCACAGTGTGTAATGTTTTGCTTCCATGGAGCTGACTTAGATCTGATTTACTTAATGAGCACCGTCAACCTTCTGCTTTATTTCCGTCACATCTTTACTGACTGTGGGCTCATTTTTCACATGTTTTCAACACTTTTACAAAAGCCAACAGGTGCCACCAATAACTAAAAATAAGCTGATTCTACGTACTACAGGTATTTGGATTGTTTTTCATACTTCTATCTGCTCCGTGTAAGCACAGCCTGCAGTTCAGCCCAGACTGAGTTTTAGTCACATGACTGTTGGTTGCTGTGCTGCGAATATTTTGCCGCTGCGCTGCCGGAAGCAGAATATTTATGGATCTATTTGTTTTTTCACAGAATCTGTTCAGGGTAATGTGTAAAGAGGACATGTTCTTGATCAAATGTCACGATTCTAAGCTGAGATTTGGTTTCCTGACAGAACGGCACGTCACAGATGAGTAGTTCAGGGAAGTCATTCTTTCAGTTTTTACAGAGGCCAGAGTTCCTTCTGTGTTGTACGATACAACTGTGCAACAAGGAGACATGCAAATGTTGTGTTTTTATCTTTTTTGCATACAAATGTCTGTTGTGCGTCCTGTTTCTTTACCTTGCTGTGTTTGGATGGTTGGTATAGCTGCCTCCAGAGCTGCCAGAGACCTCCGGTGGTAGTCTGCCTGGGCCTCTAATAACTGGCACACAAACACAAACACACGTCACACACACAAAACTTTAGGAAAGGCTTCAACACTAAACTAAGATGCACCCACCATGACGTAGTATCGAGCATATTCTCCCTCTTTGGATGCAAAGTTGTACATGTCTGCTGACAGCTGGTCCTGCAGGATGGACAAAACACAAAAGCTTTACCAGTAACATCTACATGGAGACACAGATGAGCTCCAGATGACAAAGCAATGACCTTTAATTACACGGTTCCCAATACTGAGCCTGGCATGTTGGACCTCTCCTCTTATAAAGCTCCCTTTGTTCTTTAGATGCACTCCTGATGAAAAGCTTAAGACCAGTTCAAAAACTGCATGAATTTGCATTTTGCACTGTTGGATCTTAGGAAGGTTCTAAGTAGAGCTTCAAAATGCAAAAAGAAGAAACGGGACACAGATTCCAAATGTTTGCACAGATTTTGGCTTTTAAAGGCTGTGGCCTTAAACTGTTGATCAGCTGATGAGCAGCCTGTTGGAGTTAAATTGTTGTTTTCAATAAACTGCCTGCTCACAGCTTCTGGTCTCTTGTTCCCGTTTCTTCTTTTTGCATTTTGAAGCTCTACTTAGAACCTTCCTAAGATCCAACAGTGCAAAATGCAAATTCATGCAGTTTTTGAACTGGTCTTAAGCTTTTCATCAGGAGTGTATGATCCTGAGCTCATGCAGAGGCTCTGACGGGAATGTGCAGCTCCTAGCTTGGACCAGTCTTTATTAAAGTCTGTACATGCAGCACAGTGACTGCTAAGCTACAGTAGCAACAAACCGTACTTTGCATATTTCTACTTTATTGAGCGCTTCTTCCATCTCGTCTTTGAGCGAGTCCACTTTAGCTGCCATGGCCTGGTTGCTGGACTTTGTTGCCTGGTACCACCTGAGCAAAGCGTTTAGAGATTTAGACAATAAGCTCGAGCACATTCTGCAATTTGTAGCTCCAGCTTCATCCAGTCACACACACAGAAAAGGAAACAGGTCTGAAATTCAACTTAACGTTTCAAAAATACTCAGATATCAAGGCTCTGGGGATCATTATGTTCAGACTTGTACCTCGTCTTAGCAGAGTCATAGTCGAGAACCAGCTTGGCCAGTTGCTTCCTCTGCTTCAGTATGTTGGGAATCTCCACCTGTCAGAGGAGCAGAACTGCATTAATGCACTTCACTGTCATCACCAGCAGTGGAACAACTGTCAGTATAAATTATAGAATTAGCAATAAAGGCTTTGTTGAATTTGGCACAATCGTGACATCAAACACACTGAATGTTTCAGTTAACAGCTCCTGAAATATGAAGCAGTCCTACATGACAAACACACACGTGTGTGTACAGCTTAAACACATGCAGGTCATAAAGAACAGGGTGTGTGTCTGTACCTCTGCCAGCTGGTTGAGAGGCTCCAGAATATCTCTCTCAAGCTGCAGCTCGTGCTGCATCAGGTCTGTGGCTAACCTACTTTCAGCCTCCCCGCACACATCCATCATCTTCCTGTTCACACAAACACACACACACACACACACACACACACAAACACACACACGAGAACACATGATGACGGTTATCACAGCAAGTCGACCCTCTGAAGCCCAGGCAGGTTTGCTCCGTTCCCACTCACTGTGGGCTCTTCTGTTTTTATTTTAGCTGCAATGTGAAGTCCTGCACCTTTATGTAAATAGAACAACCAGAACTCAGACACGTGTCATGTGCAGGACGACACAGTTCGAACATCACATCACATAAAAAAGAAGAAAACACTAAAGATGATTTATTACATTAGTAGTTCCCTGCAGTTCAACCCAGTTCAGTTAAAAATCATGTTTGTCTGTGACTGTTGGCTGCAGCTCAGTGACTGACATGTTGTTGTTGTTGTTGTTGTTGTTGTTGTTGTTAATAATATCTGACATAACATGTTAGTGCATACAGTTTATTAACAGATAAGACAGAGGAGTGATTTGGATGAGGTGTTTCTACTCTATGCTGAGCGTTTCCTGACAAAATGGCGCATCACAGGTGAGTAGTTCAAGGACCCCTGTAAAGTTAATTATCCAACAATTCTTTTAGTTCTTGCCGTTTCTTTCTCTAGTAAATGTGATTTTTTTCTTTTCTTTGAAGGCATCTTACCCGTTTTGGGGTTGAGAGGGTTAAATGCAAAGAAAGCACTCATTTTAAATGTCGAACTTCAGTTAATTACCATCAGTGTGTGTTCATTTTTCAGACACGTGCATTTATAAAACTGAAACAAGCCCACGCTTCTGTAAGAAGTTGATGTGGTGAAGTCTGAACTCTCCCGTCTCACCCGATCAGACTCTCGTCCCCCAGCTGGCCGCCTCCTTCCTGCATGGCCTGAGACAGCGCCGTCAGGGGCAGCTTCTTCTGCAAGAACAGCCGACAGTGACTTCAAACAATGTGCAGAAGACGTAAATGTAAAACACCAAAAGCCAAACCAACAGCCAGCATCTGGGAGCGAGACAATCAAATATCATTTCTATTTCTCTGAACTACCACACACTGTTGGCTTCTCTAGTAAAGTTAAATTTGCTGCAGGAGCATAAAACAATGCACTGTCTGAATGATTTAAACAGAAAACTTATGAAAAGTATGACCGAGTAACACAGAACAGTGATTGTTAGAGCGTTGTGTCAGTTTTATGGGCTGCTGGGTTGGGTCTGCTCAGAGAGGCTGGCAGGAGGCCAGCGCTGAATACTTCTCTCCTGAGTCGCTCTCATATCTCAGTGTTACATAAGAAAAGATGCTACGTGTTCAGATAGCAGGTCGATGCTAATGCTGGGAGATTCACCGATATGGAATCCTCTGATCCCTGAGCAGCTTGTACAGCCGTCCTCACATGTGTTCACAGCCTCCCATTAGAGAAGGAAACCAGCAGCTTCAGTCACTGGAATCAGCTGAAACTGGCCAAAGTCATAATAAATAAACATCTAATGAACATCATGACGTTGCTTTGAATTGTGCTTCAACAGAAATCAAAGCAGCCTGATGGGAGCCGT